TGTCATAGATTTTCACTCCCCTCCGACGCAGGTTGGACCCCCAAGGGTTCCCATCATCTCAAGAGAACAACAGGTCCTGATAGATGCAGAAGTTCGGAAACTGTTCAACAAGAGCGCGGTCCAATGGGCTCTTTCTGGTGAAGAAAAAGTCCAGAGAATTCCGCTCAGTTATCAACATGCGGGAACTGAACGCTTTCATGGTTTACCACCACTTCAAAATGGAAGGCATCCATCTTCTATGGGACCTTCTCCAGCCAGGAGACTGGTTCACAAGGCTGGACCTTCACAAGGACACTTACCTCTCCATCCCGGTGGACGACGAGTGTCGCAGATTCCTCCGTTTCCTCTGGAAGGGCAGTCCATGCCAATTCACTTGTCTCCCCTTCGGCCTCAGCTCGGCTCCGTGGTGCTTCGCCAAGCTCCTGAAGCCGGTGATCACTTGGCTCAGATCAGAGGGTGTCCGTTGTATCGTATACCTAGACGACTTGCTGATCTTCTGCGAGGACCCCTCCAGACTCAAGTGTCACACACGCTCTGCGGTCTCCTTATTCATACACCTGGGGTTCGTGGTCAATTTGGAGAAATCAGCCCTCGATCCTTCCCAGAGAGCGGAGTTCTTGGGTTTCGAAGTGGATGTGAAAGACTTTGTTCCTCGTCTGCCTCTGGCCGAGATAGCAACCATTCGGAAGGAAATAAGGAGGATCCTGCGGCAAGACCGGATCCCTCTATGAATGTTAGCTTGCGTGGTGGGTCTCCTCTCAGCCTCAATACAGGCAATCTATGCAATGTTTTTTACCCAAGAGACCCTCCTATGACCTGATGATCCCTCTGTCCCCGGACGTGAAGACCGAACTACGCTGGTGACTCCTGCACATGTCAGCCTGGAATGGCAAAGCGATATTCGGACCGAGACTGGATTTCGTGCTGGAATCGGATGCGAGTCTTTGGGGCTGGGGTGCCACTTGCGCGACCGGGTCCACGGGGGGTCCGTGGTCGGAAAGGGAATCGGAGTTCCACATCAATTGCCTGGAACTGATTGCAGGTTCGTTTGCGATTCGGAGCCTGGCAAACCACCTTTCAGACTGCTGCGTCCTCCTCCAGATGGACAATGTCTCGGGGTACAGTACATCAACCCCCTGGGGGGCGCTCGGTCTTGAACAATGTCAGAGGTGACGAAGGAGATCTACAGTTGCTGCTTCCAACGCAACATCACTCTACAAGCAGAATGTCTACCGGGGGAGTCGAACCTGACAGTGGATTGGTTCTCCAGACATTGGAGGGATGCCAGGAGTTGGAAACTCCTTCAGGCCATCTTCGAACTCACGAATCAGAGGAGCCCTTTCATGGTGGATCTATTCGCCTCCAGGATGAACCATCAGATCCAGACTTACTTCAGCTGGCTCCCGGACCCAGCGTGCTCGGCGGTAGATGCCTTTCTCCAAGTGTGGCCTTCGCAGGGAGCGTATGCTTTTCCTTTGTTCGCTATGATTCCCAGGGTATTGCTGCAAGTTCAACGTCAGCGTGTGTCTTTGGTGTTGCTGACTCCTCTATGGCAGAGTCAAGCCTGGTTTCCGGAGCTCTTGGATCTCTCCCATCGGGATCCTCTACTCTTGCCGTCCCCTCAGATGCTCCTCTCGGACTCTCGAGGCAATCTGCACCCCCTAGTGAGGGTCGGCCACCTGCGCTTGGTGGCCTGGACTCTTTCAGGGGTACCTGAAAGGTCGAGGCATTATCGCAATCAGCTAAAGACCTTCTCTGGGATTCCTGGGCCCCTGGAACAAGAAGATTCTATCTCTCAGCATGGGGTTCCTGGTGTCATTGGTGCCTGGAACGGGATACCAATCCCTTTACAGGCCCTGTAACTAGCGTGCTGACTTTTTTTGTCTCACCTCTTCGACCTGGAACGATCGTATTGTTCAGTTAATGTGGAGAGGTCGGCAATCTCAGCTACGCATGTCCCACTCGGAGGTCTTCCCATCGGCCAGGACCCGCTAGTCTGGGATGAGGCTGGCACGACCACCGGTGCCCAAGTATTCCTCCCTCTGGGACATACATGCGGTTTTATCTATCCTACGGGATTGGCCTTATAATCAGGACCTTTCCCTTCATCAGCTTTCGGCCAAATTTGCCCTCTTACTGTGTCTTGTCTTGTTCAGACGTGTTTCTGATGTCCGGGCCTTCGATGTCGACGCCTTTTCTCCGGAGGGAGTCACCTTCAAGGTTGTTAGACCTACCAAGTCGGATTCGACGGCTATTTTTTACACTTATTTACGAGATTCGCCAAAACTCTGTGTAACAAAGGCTCTGACTCGTTATGTAGCGATTAACGCTCCGCTTCGGTCTGCTCACTCCGGCCAGTTGTTGATTTCGTATATGTCAGACCCCACAAACCGGTCTCGTTGCCTACCTTGGCTCGGTGGATAAGATGATTATTGACGTTGGCAGGGGTGAATTCGACCTTCGGAGCGCATTCAGTTAGAGGTGCCGCAGCTTCCGGAACTTTCATGGCGGGCGCTTCCCTCCAGGACATTATGCGTTCGGCGGACTGGTCCCGTGAGGATACATTTCGCCAATTCTATTTTAGATTATCGGATGATGCTTCTTTTGCTTTGCTGTTGGAGCGTTAAAACAGCAAATATGAAACCTCCTGTCATGTTATAAAATTGTAGATTATATTAGCTTTAGTGTAACTATAATCTTAATTTTATTAATGACAGGAGGCGAATATTTCCCTCCTGGTTTCTCCCTCCCCTTGTTTTGTTTGTTTGTTTTGACTGATCTACTGTTTATTCGCCTGGTCTCCTGGGCTAAGGTTGTTAGTCTGGTTAGGTTCCTAAGGGATTTGGGTGTGTATCTGGGATATTGTACTGTCAGTATTTGATGATGGGGATTCATTCACTAATCAGTGTTTTCGACTCTGTTTATCTCGTTTCAGTTTAATGGTTCGACTACAGTTCTTAGATCTGACTATCCTGCAGGATAAAGGTCAAGATTCCATCCACTGGCTCCACATTCTATTTCAGATGGCACTCATCAGAATGTTATATATTTGTTTCTTCCGTTATTTTTATTAATGGTGTATTGTTATGTACCTTATTTTGTCGCAGCGTGAAAGAGGAAATAGTTGGTTGGAAGGAGCCTTTTATGGATTCCTTACTTTTTTGTGATTGGTGTTTTTCTCTCTATGTTAATGTGCTGCTGTGGAGTTCTAGTAAAGAGACTTAAGCAAATATTCGCCTCTTGTTATTAATAAAATTAACATTATAGTTACACTAAAGCTAGTATAATCTACAATTGTATTGGGGGAACGGAAAGTTGGTGGTTCACGTTAACGTTTATGTAGATATTGAGGTCTATGTTAATAAAAAGCTATGACTGTGCTATATACTCTGCTAATAATTGATCAGATATATTTTTTTAATGTTTTGGCTTAAAAATCATTCTGCCTTCACATGAGATACTGACCTGCTCTGAGCGACTCAACTAATTTTAGAATTGTGTCCCTTTTGTGGTTATTACTTAGCTATCTAGAACTGAGAAAGAAAGGAAGCAGTGGTCCTATACATTAATCCCAGTAACTCAGTGCTCTTTTTATCTATCGATTATGAAGACCTTTTGTCTAGTAACCGTAGGTTGCACACCATATTATTTAAGATTACTCATTAAAGTAAGAATTCATTAGGAATCCATTGGTTATTTCAAATTTCAGAATTTCAAAATAGCCAAACTGAAAAACTTCTCCAAGTCAGGTGTGGTTCCAATTCTGCTACTTTGTGTTTGAATTTGAAATTCGATATGAAATCCTTACAATTTTCACTTTAGCAAACAACCATGACTATCCTTTCAACACATCCCATTTAAAGATTATTTTAAAATAGTGTAGCTGCCACAATTGTCCATGTTCTAGCTATCAGAGATCAACTGGACCAATATATTTTTTCTCAGAAAACTGTATTGTAATTAATCGGAGAATATATTTTCTTTACTTTAGCTAATTAAACCCAGTGTGAGATGTGGCATCCTGTGAAACACATACACACACGCACACACTGATACCAGAAATGTAATAATTCACTCATTCACATGTATACAAAGAGACATCTTTCCTGCTAGCAGTGTTGAAGACAGTCTAGACCAGGGGTAGGCAACCTTTTAGCAGCACTGTGCCGATATAGGATTGTGATCTCCCGTAGCGTGTCGGTCCTATTTTTTTAAATTGAGGTCTGCATTCTGCAGTATTTTGCTTGTGTTATTTATACTGTAATTGCTTTGTATATTTGTATTTGTGCGTATATGAGCTATTATATTGTATATGTTCAGGAGTAGTTTGTGGTATTGTGTATGATACATATGAATGTGAGCTGTGTATTGGGACTGCTTGTGGAATTGTGTGTATGGATGGATGTGTCACATTGTGTGTTTGGTAGTGTGTGTATGTGTGGGGTATTGCATGTGAAAGGCTGCATGTGGGGTTGTGTGCATGTATGTGGATTGTTAGCGGGTTGCGTTTGTACGGATTGTGTGTATGTTTGTTTGTGGGCTGTTCGTATTATTTGTATGAGGGGAGGGTTACTGTGCATTTCTGTGTATATCTAGCAGTGTGGGTGGCTTCCCTAGGTTCCAGTGGAGACCAGGCTGGCCAGGTACAGGTGAAGGGCAGGAGCTGCAATATCCGCTGTGGGGTGCTCTACCACAGTGTGGATTCCCATTCACAAGTGCTGGGAGGAAGGGACCTGAGATCACTTACTCTATGTGCTGCAATGCATAAATTGAGGATTGTCCTTTTTGTATTAGCAGATATCTGAAGTTTCACTGGGACTCCTGATAGGCCAGAGCCTGTTTGGCTCTAGCAGCCTTGAGTGCTGTGCAAAGACACCTTGAGTGCCGTGCATGGCACTAGTGCCGTAGGTTGCATACCCCTGGTCTAGACAGTAGTGGCTATAACTTCCTTGGGGTTACAGTAGGTCATCTAGAATACATGTTTCTATAGCTCATTCTGACAGTGAAGGTCAAGATAGAGAATGCGTAATAGGTGTTTTAAGAAATGATTTGTACAATACATGTTTGACACAGATATTATAGATTTTGGAGTATGGAACTTGGCAAAGATTAAATCAGAGATAGAGACTTGGGAGAAGAGGTTGTGGAAATAAAAAAATATGCTTTAATTCCGTGAATAATGAACACAAAAATGATATTCCAGCTGTTAAAAGTATCTCTACTCCTTGTTCCAGTAAATCTAATCAGATATCCATTTGTAACCCAGCCTATGAGTACTTGCTGTATTTTGTGAAGCGTCCAATAAAAGAACTATGTAAGAATTGTGAAATGTATAAATAAATAGCAGCAATAATTAAAGGAATACTCCAAGCACTATAACTATTACAGCCAACTGTAGTGGTTATGGTGCCAGGAATGTCGTGGCACAACCCCAGAGTAAGCAGTCATCCCAGAGTAAGGAATCAAACCTTTTAATAATGGTTTGACAGTTTATCTGGGTCCTCTAGGCTGCCGCACCGCATTTTATAGGAGAAGACGCATGACACCCCTGAGTGAAGCTTGGCTCTATACAAAGCCAAGTTCCTTGACTGAGAGCACTCGGCTGACACTCTTGGCCAGTAGTTGTAGCTCTGCATGATCCTACTTAGTACACTGGAGCTGCTGGTGCCAAAGGAGACCCAGGTATAATTTGGGATGACACCAGGATACTTCTGGCACCAAAACCACAACAACGAGACTGCAGTGGTGATGGTGCATGCCAAGTTCCTTTAAGGCAAAGTGTTGTCACACATTGCACACTCTAGTATAGGCACAGGTCAGTCAATGCTAGGATTAAATGGTGTTCTTCCTCTCTTGCTACCAAAGAGATCATGAAGCACACGTACCAGGGCCGTTCCTGCGTTGTGTCTTTTTTCTGGATCATGACTGCAATGTGTCAAAGCATTCATGTGTTTTTAGGATGCCTTCCAGAAGCACTGCAACTATTCTCTGTACTACCTCTCTTAGGAAGGGAAGCTTTCAGAATGATCTGCATACTGCCAAACAGACAGAAACTATTTTTTTTTTCTTTTTAAAAAAAGGTCTTGAAATTACTTCCTTTATTTAACTGGGAGTGGGAGATGTATATTACCGGAGAAAAAAAAATTAAAGGTAAAAAAAAATCACTATGTTCACAAAAACTGGGTGAGACAGGGTCATTGCAAGAGGTCTTTGCATAGGCATTTACACATATCAGACAAAACATTATTCACATACACAGGCATAACCAGAATTCAAATGGGCCCTGGTGTGAAAATTGCCTAAGGCATCCCTTCCCATGTTTCTCATTCCCCCTTCCCCTCCCAGTGTCTCATTCCCATGCCCAGGCCCCCCCATGTATCTCATTCCCTCCCTCTCTCCCCTTCACGTGTCCCATTGCACCCTCTCTCCTCCGCTCCCCTCCCTGTGTCCCATTTCTCCCTCTCTACTCCCTCCCTGTGTCCCATTTCTCCCTCTCTACCCCCTCCCTCTCTCCCCCTTCCCTGTGCCCCATACCCTCCCTCTCTCCCCCCCACCCTGTATTTGCTTCTCTGCCGCAGTTCTCGGTCTGACAGGAAGTGCTCTCACAGTGAGCACTTCCTGTTAGACTGCTCGGTCACACTACACACAGGCAGGAGGGGAGCAACACAGCACAGCTCTCCCCTCTTGCCGGACACCCGGGACCCCTTATGCACCAGCCCATAAGGTATCCAGGCGGCCCACGGTCCCTCACTCCAGGGGGCTTGGTCACAGCTGCGACCTCTGCGACTGTGGTAGGTACACCACTGCACATAGATTATGTCTACATCTACTGTGCTCCCTCCTACCAAATATCTCTCCCATACTCGGGTACATTCAGATTACTTGATTCTCTCAATTCCCTTTTTGTATTTGCCCCTCATCCCTTTAGATTGGAGGTGCCCAAAAGGTAGATCCCCTGATGTCATAAAACTACAACTCCCATGAGGCTTTGCATGTCTTTGCATGCCTTTAGAAGACAAGGCATTATGGAAGTTGTAGTTTTAAAACTTCTAGGGATGTACTCGTTTGGCACCCCTGCTTTAGATTGTAAGCTTGCTTGGGCTGGGCCCCTTTCTCCTTCTGTTCCCATATGTCACACATGTGTTGTTACAATTAAATGCTTGTTTTGTTACAATTAAATGCTGCGGAATATGTTGGCACTATATAAACAATTGCAATTGTAATTTTATGGCAAGACAGGAGGCTTCATATTTGCTTATCTTTCTTTACTGAAACTCCAAGCAGCAAAGAAACAGTTAACAGTAAGTAAAAAGTTTAACCAATCAGAATGTATAACAGAGTATGTCTAGTCATCAGGCTCCTCCCAACTCCTCTTTCTTGATGTAGCCGACAGTCGTAGAGGCAACCATGTGAACGAAAACAGTAGAGTAGATCCTAACGTAGTCAACCATGTGAACCGGTGTTAATAAGTGAAGATAATTCCTTGCGAAGGTAACGAAGAGTCTTCACACTAGGAAAAAGCTAAAGAAATCGTGAAAGTATGGTCTCTCGGTAAGAGAATCAAAACCTGACAGAACCTTAAGTACTCTGAGAGATCTTAAGGCTATGAATTAAAGATGATTAAAACCCTAGAAGATTCCAAAATGAATTGGTAACAAAATATTGAGGTGTTGCAAAAAACCTACCTAGCAGAGTGGGGAAAGTATCCCATGGGTGGGAAAATATTCGCCTCCTTATGGCAAGACAGGAGTCTTCATATTTTCTGTTTTAAAGCGAGGAGAACATGGAAAGAGACACATGAGGTGACTGTCTAAAATAAAAGGTGCGAAAGGTAGATTTCCTGGACCAATCCGCAGAGGTTAAAATTTCCCCCAGAGAACCCCCAGCTGTAAATGCAGAAGAGGCAGCTGCGCCTCTAACAGAATGAGCACCAAAAGATGAGTCAATGCCGGCTAGGGCCAGGAGCCACTTGATCCAACGAGCAATCATTGGACATGACACTGGCTTGTGAGGACGCACATAAGACACCAGTAGGGGGCCCGTTTGTTTTCTAAGGGAAGTAGTGCGAAATATGTAATGTCAGACAAAACAAGCTACACATAGTGAGGGTTTATCCTGGAAATAAGGATAGCTCACTGTAGACGAATTGGTTTTAGTGTGTCGAGAAGTTTACTCCTTCGGGGGTAAAGTCAACGACATGAATGCTCTGATGTCCGAAACTCTCCGAAAGGATACCAGACCAATTTGTGCCAATTTGGAGGACAGTTGTTGGAGAGAGAGTGCTTCATTAGAAGGCCAAGCCTCTAAAAAGGATAGCACGATAGCAACATCCGAAAACTGACTATATTTGGGAGCCGGAGGTCTTGCAAGGTGGATGCCCCACAAATGTCTACATATGGAAGGATGTTTGCCAACTGAGGAGTTGTCAACAGAGTTATGGGCCTAAATTACACACTCATATATGTACAATCATATACATTCATTCCCATTCACCACACATACATGTACAGTCACAGACACAATACATACATATATATGTATTAATACGCACATTTCACACACGTACATACACATACTTATTAAATGAACCCATACGAATTACACCCATTCATATGAATTCAAGTCAATCATGTACATATGTGTCAGGGGAATTGTAAAGGATCAATCTTGGAAGCTGACTTTCTAAAAATAGTGGATATGGTCACTAGATCGTAAAATTGCTTACTCCATACTTATTTATAATAAATGATTATAATTGTTATAATAAAGTGAAAATGCTAAAACACATTCCAGAATGTTATGGTCTCCATTAATAACAGAATTAATCCCTTGAATAGAAACAACAAAGGTCCAGGTGCTTCAGTATAGTACTCATGCTTTAAGTAAAAGAGAAAAAAAAGACCAAAATATTGCTTTGGTAATACTAATTGTAAAATAAATCAACATCATTTATACTCACTAAATACAACTTTTTTTATTAGCTGGCCAAGTAACAACCAAGTGGTAACTGATACCAGCACAATTAATAACCATGTACTAGAGCAGGGGTCAGCAACCCATGGCACGTGTGCCATACATGGCACTCGAAGTACTGTGCACAGCAGAGACAAACAGGATTTGGCCTTTCAGGAGTTCCAGTGGGACTTCAGATATCTGCTAGAGCAAACCGAGCGGTGATTGCAGGTGGTGAGGGACAATTCTCAATTTACACTTTGCAGGAATAAGAGGAAGTGAACTCGGATCACTTCCTCCTAGCACTTGTAAATGGGCATCCGCACTGGTTTCTGCTCCTGCCCTTAAACTGTACCTGACCATCCCAGTCCCCACTGGACCACAGGGAAGCCACCCACACTTCTAAATATACACAGAGCTGAAGAATAAGACTCCCCTTCATACAAATAATACAAACAGCACAAACACACACATACAGCCACCACAAACACAATGCCACCAACAATCCACATACATGCACACAAGCAGCCTCTCACATGCAATACCACAAGCAGCCCTAAACATACACACACATCAAACACACAATGTGACATTTCATCCAGACACACAATTACACAAGCAGCCCTCATACACAGCCCACATTCATAGGTATTATACACAATACCACAAACTACTCATGAACATATACAATATAACAGTCCACATACACACAAATACAATGCTACAAAGCATCTGCAGTACCCATAAGTAACACAGGCACAATACAGCAACATACAAACCTATATTTAAAAAAAAAATAGGATTAGCACTCCAAGGGACTTCAATATCTTGTTTTGGCACAGTGCTACTAAAAGTTTTCCTACCCCTGTAGTAGAGTATTATTGGGGGCATATTAAAGGGACACTAAAGTCACTCAGACCACTCCATCTCAATGAATGGATTTTTTTTTTTTTAATCTGTTGCTTATATTGTACCGTCATTTTTATACACTATTTTTTTCATTTGCACAACTCCACTCCAACTCTACTCTATCCAAGAGGGAAGTGGAGAATTTGGCAGTTCGTGAAATTGATTTTTTTTGCAAAAAGTGGTGTAATATACTCTAAAGAAAAATTTCATTTTTTTAGATCACTTTGATAAACATATTCGAAATAATTATAGAATTTAACATCCACGTTTTGGAACACGTCGGTAAATATCCCCTATAGTTTCAGCAACACCTTCAGATATCGGCAAACAATTAATCATACAGTGACAATTATCCACAATGTTTATGTTAATA